CGTATAAAATTTGTATATTTTTAAAATTTTATAAATAGCGTACAATGGCACGGAAAAAAAAGAATGACCAACTAAGACATTCCAAAATTCAAAATTCAAATGTAATGTCAGAAACCACAACCACAACAATAAAAAAGGTTTTATACCAATTTGTTGGGTTTCCAACAGTGTGCAGGTAGAATATCCAGAAGACCGATTCCACATCACCTAATCCTTCTACGAGAACTGATGGGATTCTGCCATTCTAGGCCACAACACAGCCAATTTGCTTTGCAATCAATGTTTTTTTTATCAAGCCCTTCTTAATGTGTGACACGCGAAAAGTTAATAAGAAATGGTAGGGGTTTGAAGGATAATTCGCGTTTAAATCTAAGCTTTCACGTACCTAACTTTTTTTTTATTGCTAGATGGGTGGACGATCTCACAGCCCACCTGGTGTTAAGTGGTTACTGGAGCCCATAGACATCTACGACGTAAATGCGCCACCCACCTTGAGATAGTTCTAGGTCTCAAGTATAGTTACAACGGCTGCCCCACCCGTCAAACCGAAACGCATTACTGCTTCACGACAGAAACAGGCAGGGCGGTGGTACCTACCCGCGCGGACTCACAAGAGGTCCTACCACCAGTAAAGTCCATCCATCTCTCCATCTATAATTAAATTTAAACTAAATTAAGCGCTATCCGTTCGTAATAAGATCTACTGTATGCAACGAAACTATGTCGTGATATATGTCACGTTGGCAACGCATTTGTTTTGTCGTTAAAAAACGTCTTAAGAACCAAGCGGTGATTTATTGAAAATAGAATTTTATGTGGCTGTAAAAAGTTTCAAATTTGTGCGGGGATTCTCAACGTTTATGTTTTTTGTATCTACTTCTCAATTCCAGTAGTTTAAAAAAAAAACGATTAACATACAAATCATTTTAATGAACTATTTTGGCGAGTATAGTATAATATTTAAAACAGTAAGTACATTTTGGTACTTCAAAATTTTATATATTTCACTGACGCACAGATCAACTTACGGCTGGTGTAGAGCGGTTCTCGGGCCCATGGACATCACATGAAGTGGCAATAAAACTTTTTATTGGTTTAATTATTTCACGAATGCTTAAAGGCGTTTCAAGACCTTAATGTGAGCCTGCACGGGCCGCCTTCATATCGGAACGTAGGTTTTTTGGCTATGATGTTCACTAAAATAATATAATAGGCCCCTGGGTCGCCATTTCTACATGTTTTTTATTTTTTTTAAGCCCTTGTGGGCAGATGAGCATACGGCCCACCTTATGGTGAGTGGTTACCGTCGCCCATGGACTTCAGCTATGCTAGGGGCAGAGCCTACCGCTTAATACTCTCCACAAGCCTGGTTTGAAGAATGACATGTCATAGCGCTCGGGAAACACCGTGGAGGGGAGCTCATTCCAAAGCCGGATGGTACGTGGCAAAAAAGATCTCTGGAAACGCAATGTGGATGACTACAGTGGCTCCAGGTATTATGAATGAACTCTACACCAGTGGCGGGCAGTGCGATGGTAAAAACGAGATGATGGTATTATCTCGAACATCAGTTTTATTTTCTATAACGGAACAACCCTAAACCAAGGTACCTAAAGTTCTAAAACATTTTATGCAGAGCTAGTATTGGGGCGGCCTATTCAACAATAATAAAAATATCCATACTACTAACATTAATATAAAAGTTTGTATTTCTGTTAATTTTCAGGAACCGTTGCTGTTTTCGAAAAGAGTTTGAAGAACTGTTTGTAATATTTTTACAATCTACCACAATCTCACCGATAGTTTAGTCAACTCGTTTATCAGGCGTTAACTCACTGCGGGTGCTATGTACTGTGCAATCGGGCATTTTGCGTTGATTCATTTGCAATGCAACACAGAACATGACTGTTATCGACCATCTTAAGACAATAGGTTGAGGTGTCTACGAATTCTGATAACCACTTAGCATTAACGGGGCTGGGGGCTGGATCACCCACCCAATAAAAAAACCTAACACCCATAAAGGTTCGACATTCACTCTATCGAGGATAACTTCGAGGAATGCTCGAAATTAGAGAGAGAGAGAGAGTATTCTTTATTGTACACCAAAAAACAAATAAACAGTGCGATACATTAAACACAAAAGTACAATTGGCGGTCTTATCGCTAAGAGCGATCTCTTCCAGACAACCATCAGGTGGACAAGAATCATTTGGAAGCGAACTACGCGCGGTGTTCCAATCCAATGAAATACATGTGCATATATGTTTTTATTTTTTTTATTGCCTAGATGTGTGGACGAGCTTACAGCCCACCTGGTGTTAATTGGTTACTGGAACCCATAGACATCTACAACGTAAATGCGCCACACACCTTGAGATATAAGTTCTAAGATCTCAGTATAGTTACAACGGCTGCCCCATCCTTCAAACCGAAACGCATTACTGCTTCACGGCAGAAACAGAAATAGAAAAATTAAAAAAAATGTACACATACATAGATATATCCGTAAATATACATGCAATTAATACACAAGATTAAATTTTACTGTCACCCGGGCGGTCTTCTGACTTAAAAATAAATTAAAATATAAGTAAAAACTACTACTATCATTAGAATAATCACATTTTTCAAAAACGTGAGCGAAACAGTACTCATAAATTTAATAATACTCGAAATCATAAATCTGACACTTGTTCCTCACCTCGACTGAGGAATGTTGTCGAGTACTATGTCGAGGAGATTGTTCCTAAAAAAACTAAGTTTTCTTGAATTAGATTGAGCAGGGTCGAGGAAGTTTAGAGTTTTTTGAATATGCCTGATATATCTTTGGAGAATTATCACTCTTTATAGCGCAAAGCACGAGATTTTTAGCTTTATTGTTGTATGAACGAATGTGTTCTTCACCCATTTCTGAATATTCAGAAGTTACCGTAACATATTAATGGCTATAGTCAGGAGGTGGACAGAGGCTGTCTGTTCAAAAAAAAATTTAGATTGTTAGTTTATTGTCTTGTTGAAACTATCGTCTATATATATAAAAATGAATTGCTGTTCGTTAGTCTCGCTAAAACTCGAGAACGGGTGGACTGATTTGGCTAATTTTGGTCTTGAGTTATTTGTGGAAGTCTAGAGAAGATTTAAAAGGTAGATAAGTATAAAAATGCTCGGAATTAAATAAAAATAACAATTTTGTTTTCCCTTTGATGTATCCCCCGTCGGACGGATTCCTCTTGTTTGTTTTAAGTTTATTTTATACAAAAGTTTAGGTCTTTCCGATCGATTGAGGCACTACGAAGTCTGGCGGGTCAGCTAGTTTAGAATAAAAACAAGATTGTTTGTCTCGTGGGATTAGTGAATAGAGACTCGACTATACCACGGGATCTAGGTTCGATTCCCTTTTCGAGTCATTAGTTCAGGGTCTATTTTTTAATATTATTTTAATGACGTCATTTTGCACAAACCAATATTATTAGTCATCTTCCTTAATTGTCATATTTACTTAATTATACTTAATAGTTCGCCGTGTTAGATAAGTAAATAGAACTACTAGGTTAATTATGTCATTTTCTTTTGCTAAAACTTCGAATCTATCTCTTAAGGAAATCCGCACTAATAAATTTCACAGAGATGTCATGTTATTGACAGGTTACTGTCATTATTGTCATAAATCATTATTGACAGAATTGAACAGGAGTTGTGTGAATAGAGTTTCTGGAAATTAATACAATAATGTTGATCTCGAATTCACATGGGACAAATTAGTGCTGAGCTTATTATTACATATTTTACAGAAATTGCTAAAGGAATTTTTGAAAAAAATACATTATAAAAACTTTAAATAAAAAAAAATAAAAATCAATGCTAAATTCACAGCAAAATAATTTTAAAGGGACATTTTTAATGTTACTTATAAAAAAAAAAATTTTTAGACAGGCGCTCTAAGACATCCGTACAGGTTGATACCTTGTACCTTTCTAATCAAACTGCGCAATCAGTCAGTATTCCGACGCTCCGCACGTTATACGCATTAATAGAGAGTCGATATATCGACAGTTCGCGCTTAAAGAGTTACGATCCCAGGAGACCACCTTTTCAGTATGTAAATTGCGGCGGAAATAACACATGATTTGTTCTATTTTTTCCTTGTTGGAAATTTGCAGACAACAAAAGTGATAATAAAATAGCATCTACTTACAAAAATCCCTAGACTAAGAGCCAGGGAATGCAAATCTCTAAGCGGTGAATCTAAGAGAAAAAAATTTGAGAAAATATCAGAGTTACGCTGAAGCAAGATATTTCGAAGTTACATTCTTTATATGATGAACTTATTATTATTTAAGTGCGGGACAAAAAAAAAGTATTTATTTATTTTATTTATTAATAATAGCGAAACGAATGTCAAATTAATAATTTAAAAAAAACCAACAAATGTGGGAGTTCCGTATAAAGCCCATTATTGTTCGAAGTTGAAAACAAAGGATTTTTTCTCTGACACATATAAACTTAAATAAGTCATTTGACACGTGATTTTATTATGAAAATAGGCACGTGTGTCGAGAGTCATTGCAATCATGATTAATGATTTAACGTTAAGTTTTTAAACAAATCAAAGATAGCACGCGATTTATTCAAACAATACAGAGAGCTCAGATCGGAAGCGAATAGTGATGCAAATAGAAAATAATGACAATCCGCCATTTGTCAAATTAATGTTTTGAGGTCATTTATTAATGATCCAACGGACGGACTGCCTCGTCTAATGATTTCCGCTGAATATTTAGTTGAAAGAACTGCATCGGTCCTCGACGGGAACGATACGAAAATATTGCATAACGTTGCCATAAAAATAACAAAAACCCTTTCTTTACGCCGTGTGATTTACGACTTTCCATGCTCGCACGAAAATCCACACACACTCGCGGTTTATCGGGTCGAACACAGATGCATTTGCACGCACACTAGGGCAGGCTCGGTTGACATAACACGCACACACTCACCTATGGTCAAAGCGTGTGGTCCTGGGAGTGCGGGCCTCCCAGCTGCAGCATCGACCGGCACAGCTCCGTGATCTCCGGGTGGTTCAAGTTTATCAGGTGCACGTACATCTGCTTGTGGAGGCTCAGCTCCCCCGAAACCGCCTCGAGCCTCTTCAGCAAGGCCTCCTTCTCTCTCAGCAATGTTTTCACTTTCTCTTCGACTTCGCGGGAACGTACTTTAGCCTTTTCCCGGGATTTCCTCACGGCTATGTTGTTGCGCTCCCTTCGCCTTCTGTATTCGTCAGTTCCCTTGTCTATTACTTTGCCTGAGGATCGTCTCGGGGGTGCCGGTTTGTGTTTCAGCAGAGGAGGAAGCAGAGGTCCTCCCAGAGGCGGTAGGGGAGTGAAACTTCCTGTGTAAGGATTGTTAACGCCGACTGGCGGCTGCGGATTGTATTGTCCTGTGTATTGCGAGCATGTGACCGTTCTTCGGAAGTCCTGAGGTTCTGGCGGCTCTTCTTTAATTGGAGGCGCCTGCTCGTGTGCCGAGCTGGCTTGTACTGGCGCGTAGGACGCTCCGGAGTGGACCGGTTGCGGCATGTACGCCAGCGTCGTCCTCGTGAACCGGGGCTGAGGCGATCGGCCTCCGGGTAGAATTTCCTGAAAGAGGGCCATCGTTTCCTCGCCCCGGAACTGATCCTCGATGAGGTGTTGCAGATCCAAGCTGATCTCCTGCCCATTGAGCTCGTCGAGTTCCGGTGGTGGGAAAGCCGATCGTTTATCCTCGACGACTTTTTTGAGGTCTGGTTGGGGAGGCGGCGGAGGCGCTGCCGCCGCATCGTACATCTGGGGAGACTCCATCCCGCCGCTCGGGCCAATCACGGGCCCAGCGGCGCCGGCGGCCCGAGCCTCCACGTCAAAGCACTGAGAAGCCGTCACTAAAGCACATGCACCGTGTGTGAATCCGTGCGGTCGGCGTGCGTTGCGCGTCGCGATATCACGTGCAAGTCAGCGGGTCGGGGCGAGCGCGCGTGCACTCGCGGCGGCGGTGTGGCGCGGACTGGGCGCCGCACACGCCGCGCGCTCTCGCAAGGTTGCCCGGAAGGAACCGCGGCGACCTGAAAGTTCGCAGTAAAAGTTTACGCGCACCACACAATACGCGGGGGTGATAATTGGACCTGCTTACCCCGTCAGAGTACATACAGACTTGCAGTCTTGCAAAACGCGGGAACCTTGCACTAAATATTTAAAAAAAAAGTCTAGTGAGCCCGCGAATACATAAACTGCTAATTTAAGTGCAACAAACGCGTATTTCAGGGAAAAAATATTTTCGCGTATTTCCATTCGCGTAACCACAAAAATATAATAAAATGATATAAAATTCTACGATTTGCTACAATATCCAATATCAATTCGGAAGTCAATTATAGAATTGTCAGTAATTAAAAAACCGGTTTGTTTTTTTAAGTTTCATTAATTACCTTTTACTATGCTTATTATAAAATCAACAAATCAATCTTCAAATCACAGATCCAAGATAAACATGAAACTCATTATATCTAAGAAATGTCCAAAACTAAGTTTACTTTTGTACTAAATAACTTCTCTATTGAAAACGAAAGAAAATCAAATACAAATTACTATTATCTTATAACAATTTTGTTGATTACCACGCGGCTGAACTTGAACTTAGGCATTTCCACAGAGCATTTCCTTCGATTTGAAAACTTTCATCGGAAAGGTTACGGAATTGCCATCCCAAAATTATCGAAAAATAAATTGCCACACCCACGAATGTCCACGAAATCACTCTATCATCACGCATCCACGTTGCCAGTGATAGCGGTAATCTGTTTGAGATCTGACACGGGCGTACGTGGTCAATCACAGATGCGCTAGGTGCGATAAGTTTTTTTTAAAACAGTTGCTTAATCTTATGAAACCCTAGTACACGACGACCGCTTTCGAAACATGAACGCCTGGTAGTTTTTTATTTATTTTCAAAGCCTGTAGTTATTGCTATATGTAGTTCCGCGCTGCTGTCCATGGGCAGCAACAACGACGACAAAAGATGACCTTTAATTAAATATATATATCGATTATTAGGTATTTCAGTTTAGTTCATTTTAAAGGCGGATTGTGCGAGGGAATTAAATTTGGATTTAATAAAATTGTCTAACTCGACTTAAATTTTTTTAAATCACTAATGAGATGAAAGCTAATAATAGCATAATGGGAATAATAATTATACTAAAATTTATATTTAAACAATAAGTTTTTTAAATGGAATTTTCCTTCATAAATCAATAAAATTAAAATATAATTAACATCTAATTCACTACAAGAATTTTAAATTTACGATATGTAATTTTTAGTAGTCTTACATTTCCAACAGCGGTTTGGTTATGTTAATAAACTTGTCTCTACATATAAAAATGATAGTATGCTGCGTCTTAATTAATTTATTTATAACAGCACCTATTTATTTCTAACTTAATCTAAACTTAATCTAAACTTATCTAATTCTAAACTTAATCTATTTATTTATAACAGAAAGCGCTAAGGAAACTGAAAGCGCTAAACTGGTGGCAGGACCTCTTGTGAGTCCGCACGGGTAGGTACCACCAGCCCGCCTATTTCTGCCGTGAAGCAGTAATGCGTTTCGGTTTGAAGGGCGGGGCAGCCGTTCTACTATACTGAGACCTTAGAACTTATGTCTCAAGGTGGGTGGCGCATTTACGTTGTAGAGGTCTATGGACTCCAGTAACCACTTAACACCAGGTGGGCTGTGAGCTCGTCCACCCATCTAAGCAATAAAAAAAATGGATTCCGCTTATAAAAACATTTAAAACATATACAACCCACATCATATTGTATTACGCAGGCATTGTACAAATTAAAAAAAAATATGTGTGTGTTTTAATTAACTAGCTGTTTCTAAGCTTATTTTTGCATGTAAATCAAAACGTCAGACTTATTATTTTAGCTTTGTAAACAAGAATGGTCTACGAATAATAATGGCTAGCGTTATTGTCTGTCTGTAAATATACTATAGTTTTCTCGTTTTCAACATCAAGCAAGAAATAACAGTGCTAAAATCGGGCCTCAAAACAGGAAGGCGGTTTAATATCCTACCTAAGCTGATGGCTTTGAGAGGCCATCGTAACCTTAACAAGTATTAGAGCTTTCTTCTCAAACCGGACGTTGCTAACACTAGCCCTAGCAAGAGCAGTGCTTCGCAGAATCTACCACCGGATCGGAAACGCGACCCACTGAAAAGATCTGGCGAGAAACTCAGTGGGCTTTTTTTTTTACTTTTATTGCTTAGATGGGTGGACGAGCTCACAGCCCACCTGTTGTTAAGTTGCTGGAGCCCATAGACATCTACAGCGTAAATGCGCCACCCACCTTGAGGTATGTTGGCACTTTGAATATTACTTCATTTGGCAGAGCGACTAAACATGGTAATTTCCTGATCTAGCTGCCAGGCTGCGTTGGAGCCCTAGTAACCTCCCCTCCACGAAGGGAGGCGCGGTGAACGGCCGACCGACTCTACGCTGTGATGCAATCCAACAACAAAACAGTCGATTTGCTGCAGATTGGCCACTGTGAAAAATAATATAATAAAATATGAATTTAAGATCACATGAAACTACGTGAATTAAGACTAAGATGAGGAACTAGGAACTTTATAACTGATTGTAGGACGTCTTGTGAGTCCGTACGGGTAGGTACCACAGCCCTGCCTATTTCTGCCGAGAAGCAGTAGTGCGTTTCGGTTTGAAGGGCGCGGCAGCCGTTGTAACTATACTGAGACCTTAGAACTGGTATCTCAAGATGGGTTTTGTGGCCGCATTTACGTTGTAGATGTCTATGGGCTCCGTAAACACTTAACACCAGGTGGGCTGTGAGCTCGTCCACTTATTTATGCAATAAAAAAAGGAAAGTATCTCCCTAGTTACCGAAGTGCAGTGTGCTTGTTCTCATTTGAGAACTAATCCTTTTTTTTCACTTGACATACAATTTCCTAGTTTTCCTAAAGGAAGAAGTAGACCTAAGAAAAGTGAAAGACGATATGTGTAAGAGGGGAGTGAGCGAAGAAATTGTATATGATAGAGGAATATGGAAGGAGAAAACATGTTGTGCCGACCCTAGGTGATTGGGAGAAGGGCTTGAGAATGATGATGATACTATTTCCTAGATATAGTTCTTGTATATGTACGTACATAGATCAGTTAAGAATGAGTAGTTTGCATTAATTAAATTCCGCAAATATTTATTTTTATTAATGTAAATGATTGTACAATGTAAATAGAGGAATAGTCATAATGTACATAACTTATTAGTTTGTTTTACAGGTAATCCTCCTTTATGACGGTATTTTACAACAAGATAAAGAGATTTTTGTTTTAAATTATTTAGAAAATTACGTTATGCACTATGAATAAATAACCAACAGCTGTATTCTCAAGTAGTTAAAAATAGAAAAGATTGAACGTCTATTCACAGCCTGCCTACAAAGAATATTGCGGTATTTTGGTCATTTTGCACGCAGGGATACCAGCAATTTGGAACGCCTTGTGGTGACCGGTAAAATCGAGGGAAAAGGCCTAGGGGTAGAGGCCCCAAACGATGGTCGGATGAAATAGCGGTGGAACTATAAATACCTGTCAGCGACGCACTCCACCAAGCTACAGAACGGGATCCATGAAGACAGCTAGTTGAAGGAATCAAACGGAGTCATAATCCTCAGCAATGAGGGACCGATTGAAGAGAGAGAGACTGAATAAACAATATATGGGAATAATAAGTGAAAAAACGCTTATACCCATAGTTGAGACGTTTCATTTAGAAAAATATACTCTTCTTTTTGTAGTGGCTTCTTGTCTCATATAACGCGGTTTTGCACAACGCGGGACTTTGTAGGAACGTATCTACCGCGTTATAGGAGGGTTGGCTGTTTATTCCACTAGATCCCAACTAGGCTTTAGGTTAAGGTAGTTTTTACATTCATTTTTATTTTTGTTTTATTAATATTACATATTATTTTTATTTTATTCCGAAATTGTAGTTATTGTTTTTTATTTAATTTTGGTTAAGTTATATGAAATGTAATTGTTAATGAATGTAATATGGATGCAAAATCTGAAGTAAATGAAATAAATAAAGATAATAATAATTCCGAAGCGGCCATTTCACATCGCGCTGCTGTCTCAGTGAGTGGGTAAGTAGGCGGACGCCAGCGCAGAAAGCGGTTTTGTGACGCAACCCGCGCCGCTAACCCAGTCACTGTGCACTACCAGACGCCAGCCTCATGATGTACTGGAACCGATGCCTGCGATTGTAAAAAGTTTTCTATTGCCTTCGAATGCGGACAAGCAAAAGAGGCTGGTAGTACGCCGTGGCTCATGGAAAGCGGCAATATGATCATGCACTAACAGACGCCAGCCTCATGATGTACTGGAACCAATGCCTCCAATTGTAAAAGGCTTTCTATCGCCTTCGAATGCAGACCAGCAAAAGAGGCTGGTAGTACGCCGTGGCTCATGGAAAGCGGCAATATGATCATGCACTACTAGACGACGGCCTCATGATGTACTGGAACCGATGCCTGCGATTGTAAAAGGTTTTCTATCGCCTTCGAATGCGGACCAGCAAAAGAGGCTGGTAGTACGCCGTGGCTCATGGAAAGCGGCAATATGATCATGCACTAACAGACGCCAGCCTCATGATGTACTGGAACCAATGCCTCCAATTGTAAAAGGCTTTCTATCGCCTTCGAATGCAGACCAGCAAAAGAGGCTGGTGGTTCGCCGTCGCTCAGGAAAGCGGCAATATCATCATCTTACCGCTATTGAGATTTAGGCCACCTGTACACGGGCATGTCGTGACGCTTGGGAAACGCTATTTCAGCCTAGAACAGGTCGGTACGTGATGGATATATGTTTGTAAATGACCAGTTGATCAGCGGTTCTAGAGGCGAAGGACCTGTGACATATAGGTTTGGACAAGTAGTTCAACAATCTCTTTTTTTTTTATTA